GAAACAAAAAAAAAAAAAAATAAATAAAAAAAAAAATAAACACATCATGATAAAATTAATACCTTCTCAGCTTCGCATCGAAGCTAATACTTTTGAAAAGTATTTTTTACAACTATGTACATACATACATACATACATACATACATACAGGTGAAACTAATATAAGCGTGTTAAAAACGACTATAGTTTAAAAATAAAATAACATATCAAAAATATGTAAAAAAGCAATAGTATTTTGTATAAAATTATAGATACAGTAAACTACTAAAAATTATATTTTTATTAATAAATATTTTCAATTTTTTTTTAAGTCTATCATATTTATTATTTATTCTAGACAAAAAGTTGGATGTGCAAACATTTGAAAAAACAAATCTTAATGTTAGAATTATTTTTAACTTTATAAAATATCTGTATACTATGCGTGTAGTTTGATCACAGCAGTTGTGCAAGATTTTACCACTACGCACGATTCTGTTTCATAAATTCATAATTTATTCGGAGAATCGAATACTATCTTAAAATCGAATAGTACCTTTATCATTGAATATGATAAAACGTTTTACTTTATTCATTCGTTGAACTCTAAAAACTAGAATGTTATAATTTTCAGCGTCCATCATTTAAAATGTCCCATAAGATTAATGTAAATTATTGCTAGTATCAATTAGTCCTCTAATAATGTCTGAATTTAAAGTAATAAATTTAAATTTATTATTTATTTTTATCTTTCAAAAATATTTTACTATAAAAAGCTAGATAATAATTTTATAGAAAATAGTTTCATTAAACTTTTATTCAAATAATTTTTTTTTTTTAATAAACATTTGTTCTTAAACTTTGAACTATCAATAGATGGATATAATATTTATTGGGACAAATGTTCATTGAATTAAGAAATTTGTGGAACAAAAGGTAGGGATCCTAATCCATCTAAAGATTATCTTGCTTATTATTATTATCAATTTTTTAAATTATTTGATGCTCATTAGTTAGACTTATACATGTCTCTTAAAATACTACTTATTACACTCACAATTACTCTTATAGCTTTTATAGCTAATCAAAATATCTTCGAATATCAACGATTCTATAATTCGTTTGAAAAAAAGTTAAACTCAACATCATGTCCGCTTTGTTTAGGCATGGACTTTTGTCACAATCTACAATATTTTGAATTTAACCATGAGAGGTATAAAGTAACTAATTTTGATCATCAAAATAAATTTTTATACATTTTTTGGGGAATTATACATATATTGAAGCAATGGCTTATAAGGAACAATAAAATATTTTTTGGAAAAATAAATTTAAAAAATGGAACTACATTACCACTAGTGGCAAAAAGAACTGAAAATGAAAAAACTAAACAATTTTTGGAAAAAGTTACAGAACTTGTTGATGTAAATTCTTTAAATTCAATTGAACAACTAAAAATTTTACTAACTGGTACAAATCTACCTTTTATTGATAATGGGTTAGTTGTGTGTTCAAAAAATGCCAAAAGGTCATTCTCATTGATTTTTGATTTAATCAAATTGTCAATCGATTCTAATAACAATAAAAATATCAGATTATGGTTAGAATTGTATACAGCCATACATTTATCACCTGAAATAATACTACTCAAGGTTAATATGAACATATAATTTTTGTGTTAGTGACTAAAATTCAAAAATTGTTTTAGATTTTAAAATTAAAGTCTTATGTACCTATTATTTTTGGTACATGTGGTAATTATTATTTTGTTGAAGATTGTGGTCATACACTACAATATTATATTGGAAAATTAAGATTGAATATGAGGATGCAGATTGTCTATGAGCTACTTAAGTTAGCCCTAGAACTTACTGATGGTACTGCTCATCGCGACTATTCATTTTACCTCACTGATTTAACAGCAGATAATATTGCCATTCAAATAGATAGCTCTACAGGGTTATTATTGTCTTTGAAAATTATAGATTGGAGTGATGTCATTGTTGTTTCTAATAAAGAAAATAGATTTAAGTGTAAATTAAATTGTAAGTTTAAAAATATACATATATATTTATAAAATATCAACCAAATTTTTTTTTTAACTAGTTCATTACAGTGAATGTATTGAATGTTGTCCAGGTTGTTTAATTTATTCTGAAGATGACATATGTAAAACAAGTTATAGTGACCATAACATATACGCTGTATGTCAGGTAATGTATAACATTTTCGTGAATTTTTATAATATTAAAATGTACAAGATAAAATTATTTTAGAGATGTATTTTTGAAATCTATTAAATAGACTTAGAACAACACTTTCTTTAAAGTATACTTTAAACTATAAAGATATTGGTGAGTTTCCTTTTCGAGAAAATTTTATTAGATAGTTTAATAAGCCTGCCTGCTCACAATTATTTATGGCCCCTGAGAGTTAAATTATTTTTTTGAAAATATGATTATTATATAAAAAAATTCTTGATTTTTTTTTAAGTAAGAGACTTAAAAGTAAGTTACCTAAAAAAAATATTGCAATAACACCCATATGAATTCTCAAACAATATATAAGCGCTGATTACCTAAACATCAATATAAATTATATTTATGAATAACATTTAATTTGCCATCAATTATTTCATACTTTTGTTTCGTTGTAGTATTCATTATACATTTGTATCAAGTACATTCCATTGGTATAATTTAAGGTAGCTCAGACCTCCAAATTAAAAAAATATGTATTAATTGTAAAACATTATTTAAAGTTGAGTAAAATTTAATTACTATATTCAAAAATGTTATTTTAAAATTTTACAAAAAGGTATAATCTAATCTTTTGAATTTAAAATAAAAATCTGAACAGAAGCTGTCTTCATTATTAAGGCCATTTTTATGTTACATACTAAATCAAATAAATTAAATTAAGTTATTGTAGTATAATAAATTATTATTATAATTATTTATTTTATTTAATATTAAATAATCGAGTTTAATAATGATAATGTAAAATTATTTTTCTAAAATAGGAATTTTTAAGCTCTGGAGAAAGTATATTACCAGAAATAACCAATACAAATATACTAGAAAATAGCAATTATGCAGAATTTCAGACACTTATCAAAAATTGTGTTTGTGATAGATCAACAGAACATCAAGTTATTAGAAATAGATTGAATACAGCAAAATTAATGATTACTTTACTTGAAAAAATATTAAAAATTACTTTTTAAATTAATTTTTATTATTTATTGAAAAATATAATATAAAATAAAAATCTATTTTACAACTTTTAAAAGAAAGTATACTCCCCCAATTTTTATTGTTAAGATTAAAATGATTATTTAAATATACATTTTTTTGTTTAAATAATAAAATAATTTAGTATATTTCATTCAATCCTTCATTAATGGATAATTTTTAATAATTATTAATAATACCATATACTACTTCATAGTCTCAAGAATAAAGAAATATCAGGGATTAACTAATTAAGTTATTATTAAAAAAGTTTTTTGTTTTTAAGGTGACAATCATCAAATAATATAAAAAATCTATACAGGTATTTTTAAACTAAAATTGTAAAGCATTTTTTAATTTAGCTAAAATAAAGATTTATAATAACAAACAAATATGAAATATAATTTTTTCAGTGATTTATGTTCCAATTATATAATTCTGTTTTATCTCATACATTTCATAAGCAGTTTCTTCATGATGAGTAGGATCATATTCTGTTCCGATATAGTCAATTTCCAGTTGAAATGGACCATCAGCTCTATCCGAAACAGTTATACCAAAATGACTAATTTTGGCTAAAGGTAAAGGACCTTGAATATCTTGAATCCGTCCTTTACTTGCAAAAAAGAATTTTGAAAAAGGTATCTAAAATATTTAGTTATCAGTTGCACATTTGAATTTTTTCAAGAAGATACTTCAACAAAGAAACATACCCTAACTGTTTGCCAATAAGGGCCACCACGAGTATACAAAACAAATGTATATACATCATTCCACATAATATCAAATTGACCAGACACATGAATATTCAATAGATAACTTCGTCCATCTCCACGTACTCGCATATTTAAATGAGTATATGGAGTCCAATCTAAGTAGTCGTCTCTTTGAAATGATTTCTGTAAATATATAATAATTAAATGATTGTGAGTAAACATAAAAGTATATTATAATAAATCTGTGTATAAAAATTAGTATTGCTTGAAATAGATAAAAAGACTGGTATTAAAAATAAAATGTAAACTTTATAGCCTAAACGGACCAACCAAATAATTAAATTAGATTATCTTTGTATTACATGTTATTTAAAATAAATCATGCTAAGTAGGGTTTGAATATAAAATATACTGACTCAAACCTTGAAATAAAATAAGTTTGACTGACTAAAGAATTCATAACAAACTATAATTTGTTTAATATAATACATTATAATTTGATAGGAATTCATAAAAGGGATATCAAGAATGTTATGTTATTAAGTTATTATAGGCCACATGATAATTGTTTTTAATAGATTATATGTCTATCGCCGAGACTTGCTCTACATGATAGGTGCAGAATCTCTAAATTAACTCACTCATTGATTCTTGTAAGTGTGGTCTTTGCTAGACTCCATTGCACTTCAATAAACATTTTTTTTTTTTACTATCATAACTAATCTCAAGAATTACAAATTATTTATTTATACATTCAAGTTATGTACTATCTCTAATAAATATAAATACTGTAAATTTTAAAAATTAACATTTTTGAAGATAATAAGTTTGTTTTAATAAAGTTTTTTTACTAAAATGAATTTAACATTTAATACTATATTAAAAATATAAAAACACCTTAAAAATATTTAAATTTAAATTGCTTGTATGTTACTTGTATATAGTATTCAAAAACAAGAGTTGTCTATTATACTTTTGGTTCAGAAAAAAACCTGTTTTCTTACATATTAAACTTAATATATTAGACAAAGAAGAAAAAATTGGTACGTAATTTAGAGCAATTAATTTTTAATTATTTGTTTTCTAGTATTAGATACTGAAATTATAAAAAAAGTATCGATCTAGTATTTAAAAGAATGTTTTTATGGATTGATTAAAAAAATTACAGTGACTCGTTTTGTAATAATATTACAGTAGCCAGAATTTTGGATTCTTCCATCTTTAGGTACCCTCGAACATAGGTTTCCAGTGAACAGACCATATCCTTGGGGGCTCAGTTTCAAATCACACTTGCTAAAACCTTCAGCATGATCACTATCACTAGTACAAATCCAATGATCAAGGGATGAATCATTAAAAAATCTCCAAAATACATCTATTTCACCTAAACTCCAATATAAAATAAACAATTTTTATTTTATAGTTTATAGTTTATAAGTATATCTTAGTGTATACCTGCTCTATAATCAAGGATAGGGTCTGCTTCTAAAACTTCTTTTACCTCTTCTTTCCATCGTTTAATTTCAAATTTTAACTGTTTAAGACCTAAACGTATTCTTTCTAATCGAGTATCAGCTATGTTGAAACCTGTATCATATCCACTTCTTTTGTCATACTCGTGAAACTCGAAGGAAGGACAAGTAAAATGAAAATATTTCTGAGGACAACAATTCCAAACTATGCTATGTGTATGATCATATGCACTTAAGTTTTTCCATCGGTGCTTTGATATAAGAAGTCCAATTTTTCTTCCACTTAGCATTATATTTTTATAACATTGGATCTGTAGAAAAGTATCTATCAAAATTGTCTAAATAACTAAATTAAAAATATAATGAATATTAATTCAAACTTAAACAGTATATATCACAATATATTCATTTTTATCATAACTATACATAACACTTATATTCAATCGGAGATAATTTAAGTCAAAAAATGTTATCATAAATATCAAAGAGTATAAAAAATATCATATATGGGAATCGTCATTACCTCTAAAAGTTAATTCAATCATAATTATAACAAAGTAAAAATAATAAATCTTCGTTGTTTAATTACAATATTATGATTTAGTATGAACTCATATTATTTTAAACTAATACAGCCAATTCATTAATTATATTAATAAATATTAATGAATTTCTTATAAAATAATTTATAAGAAAGAGATTAATGACATGTGCACAGTATATACGATGTGTAAATTATACTTGTCATATGGCATTTACCTTATTGTCAATCATATGATAATACCTAGGATACTGTGATCAGATACAGTAAATTTTCTCTGGGTAGCCGGTCTCATAATTGTATTTTACGCTACGATTTCATTAACTTTTTCAATTACTTTCAAGTTTTAACTCTTAATTATGTTTGAATAGTTTTTTTATATACATTTATGCCTAAACCAGATCCTTGCAAAAAATTAGCTTGTGCAATTCAAAAGTGTTTGTCTGGTAATTTAATATTAATTTTTTTTTGTAATTAATACGTAGCTATGTATGTTATAATCTTGGTTGATCAACAACATAGCTTTTAGAGGAGACGTTAAACATGGTTAATGATTATTTAAATAAATTATCTCCATATATACATTTTTAGAAAAAGTTACAGTGATATAAAGTTGAAATAAAAAATAAATATTAATAATTCGGCATTTTTACAAAAAAATGTATGATTTATGAAAGGCGGCATATTGTAAACAAGCCCTAAGAACACACTTTTTTCTTTTATCACAAACTGTATATTACAGAGTGATTCATTATAATTATATATTGAACTTTTTTTTTTGGTTATTTTAGTTACATATATCATATATTTTATTTAATGTATTATACACAATTTTTAAATGGAAACTTACAAAAATATGTATTGCACTTAATCTAGTTTAATAATGCTTAGTAAATGATCTTATTAAAAAATAACTGCTCTACAACAATTTTTAAACCACTATTTCTGAAGTTTAAATAATAGACTGGGTTTGTGGTTCAGGTTATGGTATTTTTTTTTCAATTTATCATTAGTTTATTGAAAAAAATTAAGAATTTCATTTTAATCAACCAAATTATTTAATTTTTAAGTATTAAAAATGTACAGTAACTTATCTAGATTTAAGTCATTGGGTATGTTTTTTAATTTCAGAAAACGGATTTCAGGAATCTCGCTGTATTAAACAAATTAATAATCTTAGAGAGTGTTGTAAAACATATTATGGCAAATCCCTTGTTTGTTCAGGCATGAAACCCACTTCTACCTCTGAAGAGATTGATACTAATATTGAAAAGATATAGTATGTTTTTGATTACTGATAATATTTTTTCAATTAATTGTTTACATTATTTATAAAAAAAATCTCTACATACATTAATTTGTCAATGTATTAAAAAAAATTGAATTCTATATTTATAGGATCAAGAATAATATGTGTAGTGAAAAAGTGCAACAATCAAAAAACCAACATCAAAATTTTATTAATAGAAAGTTATTAAAAGATTTACCATTTTATAGACGTTATCCAAGAACTTTTGTAGTTGTTGGAAGTACTCTAGGTTTTATAATTTTATTTAGTAAAGGAATATACGATTTTTTCCGTCCAAATACTGTTGAAGAGTTGCAACGTCATCTAGCAAAGGAAAAACTATACCAATTAAAATTACAACAAGAGAGAGAGTATGTTGAAAAGTACTTAGAATAGAATAACACTTTCCAAAATTGTAATATTTTATTGTACTTTTAAAATAGTTCAATTATTTTTTCCAGACTTTAGTATAATAATTATTTAATATATTTGATAAATATAAGAAAGCTTTTAAAAATTAATTTTTATTTTAATACAGCACACTAAATTAATATTAATTAAATTTTAATTGGCATTAAATGAGCTATGCAATATTAATGATTTATATATAAAAATAACTCAAGTATCTCAAATTGAGTTAAAAATTATTAAAAAATTGTCCATTGATATATTGTAGATTTTTCGCTGAATTAACTAGTTTTAAAAAACAAAATATAGACAATTTTATGTAAATTTTAATATAAAAATTAAAAAAATTTACCTGTTTAGATAATTATTTTAAACACTAAAAATATTTCAATATCTCAAATGTTCATTGATACTACAAATATATTACATTAATTTTTTCTTAAGAAAAACAAAATTTAATATTTCCTTATGAAATATTTTTAGTTTTGGTTACAGTATTTGAATTTTTACTATACATAGTGATTTTTTTAAGTTAGCTACTCGATTACTCTTAAATGATAATTATATTAAATTTTTTTTTTTCATTTTTTAGTTACATACATTTCTTAATTTTTCAATTAATAAATGTTTTTTCATCCCTTGTACCTAATAGAAATTTTATTTTATTTAAAATATTTTAATTTAATATTAAATTAAAAAAAAAAAATTCCCAAAGGTCATTTTAAGTTCTTGATTGGATTTTAAAAAAAAGTCAAATATTTATTGATTCTTTACTAGCCAACTACTTAAAAAAATTTAAAAAGATTACAAAAAAAACTATTTTAATATTGCCTAATTGTTTTATAGACCAGTAAAAAAAATTTTTTTTATTAAATGTGTCAATTTTTTAAAAATATATCTGTACATTTAATTTTAATTTTTAAATGTACTGATAATAAAATAGAGCAATATAATTTGTATATATTAGTAGAATTTTTAAAATATAATAAAATTTTCTATTAAAATGATTTATAAAAACAAATTTCAGAGTTATATTCAGGAATAATTTTTTTAGTCTGATTTCAAATTTTGTCACTAGTTTTTGAAATAACTTCTAATAAATAAAAATAATAACTAACAATGAATAAAGTTAATAATAATGTTTTTTTTTAAAGGCTATATTTGTTGATAATACTTGATAAGTTTATTAAATTTTAGTTCAATTTTAAAGTTATTGCTGTTTTTGAGGACATTTAAAGTTCATTAAGAAGATAATTATAAAAAATTATATTGATTATTTTACGATAGTATAACAATATAGGATGATTCTTCTAATATTAATCATTTTTCTCTTAAAAAAATAATTATATTAATAAAATTATCTTTTGCATTTTTATATTTTTTGAATTATTTATTTTTAAATTAATAATATTAAAAAAAAAACTTTAATTGTATTATCTCAAGAGAAATTGAGTGGCTATAATTAAAAGTGGTTATTGCCTTTTATAGTTTAGTCATGACTATTATTTTGATAACAATTGTAATTACATTCTTAATAATCAGTTTTTAATAAAATATTTTTATTTTTGTATATTTATTTTTTAGAACCAAATCTTAAATAAATGTTAATATTTTATTGTTATTTAATATCATTATAATTTTAAATTATCGCTTAATCACATAATAATTATAATTATAACATCTTATATAAATCCTAACATGATGGTTATTATATGATAAACTCCTATTTAATCATAAAAGATAAAAAAAGCAATTATTTTATTTTATTTTATAGATTACAAATTAAAACTGATTAAGAAGATATGGATGCAGTTAACAAAGCCAAAGCTCGTTTCAAAAGATATCCTAATCTACTAATAGCGTGTCATATTGAAGCCTTGAATTATGCTACATGCATTATTAAAAATGAAAAGGATCTTAAAAAAGACTGTTGTAAAGATCAGTTTATTAAATTCCGACAGTGTTTGGTAGCTAATGCAACTAAAATCCATATTAAAATTTAGAATCAACTTAGTTATAAGATAAAATTGTTTAGTTTATTATCATAATGCATTTTTTATGGCATGTAGGTTTTGGTTTTTTAGTTAGAGTTATTTTAATCATTTTTGCACAATGGTATGATACTGATGATAGTGGAATTAATTATACAGACATAGACTATAAAGTTTTTACTGATGCAGCTCAACATATGTGGCATGGTGAATCACCTTATATGAGGCCAACTTATCGGTATACCCCTCTTATAGCTATACTTTTATTGCCAAATGTTTTTTTACATTATTGTTGGGGAAAGTTATTATTTTCTATATTTGATTTAGCAATTGCTTACACAATACAAAAAATTGTATCAAAGTCGCATCCTAAAAGTAGTGATTATTGTGCATTTCTATGGTTGTACAATCCTTTAAGTATTGTCATATCAACTCGTGGAAATGCTGATTCAATATCTTGTTTTATTGTTCTTCTAACATTGTTAATACATTTAAAGAAAAAATATCTACTATCAGCAATATTTTTAGCTCTATCTGTACATATAAGAATTTATCCTATTCTATTTTGTTTGTCATATTATCTTTCAATTGATATTAAATTAAAATCCACTTCTCTTTTCAAAAAAAATTATCGTGCTTTATTTCCTACTAAAAATAAAATAACTTTTGTAATGATATTCTGTGTATCCACAATTTCTATTAACGGATTTTGTTACTATTTTTATGGTCAAAAATTTTTAGATGAATCATATTTATATCATGTTAGTCGTTTGGATGTGCGTCATAACTTTTCTGTATATTTTTATTTAAACTATTTACTATCAAGTTCAGATAATATACCTCTTACACATAGTATCTTGACAAAGTTATTTCCCCTTTTATTGATATTGGTTGTATCATTTACTTTTTATAATGTTGAAGATTTAGCTTTCTGTCAATTTTGTTTATGTTTCATTATGGTTACCTACAATACTGTTGTAACATCGCAGTATTTTGTTTGGTTTGTATCATTTTTGCCTGTGTGTTACTTGAACATAAATATTACATTTATTGAAGGTATTAAAATTTTATTAATATGGATATTACCCCAAATTGGATGGCTAACTTGTGCATACTTATTAGAATTTTTAGGTGTTAATACTTTCAGTTTACTTTGGATAGAATCACTAATGTTTTATCTAAGTAACATTGTAATTTTATCATTTACCATTGAAAGATATAAATGTAATGAATTAAAAAAAATTTTGTAAAAGTATAAATATTTTAATAAAGAAATCGTGTTGAGTAAAACATTTTTGTCAATAATAATTTTACTATGAAACTATTATGAATGTAATATATTTAATGTAACATAATTGTTGGTATATTTACTTCACAGTAAATATTATTGCATTTTAAATGAATAAATAAAATAAAATTGATCTAAATGTAATTATTAGTTCGTTTAGATACAAAATACTCATTATTTTTAATATTTCTCATGTGATTAGAATGCAAGTAGTTTAAGTGTCATTTTTTAATTCAAATGAATCGATCATTTCAATAATGACATAAGTCTTTGATTTTTCAAAATTGACTTTTTGTCAAATTTTGATAATTATATACCTGGTTATGTATTCTGTGTAAAAACTAGATTTATCAGACTAATATTTAATATAAATAGTAACTACAAGAAACTTGAATCACATTAAAAACTACACAAGTTGTTCAGTTTTTGCAGGCATTCGCAGATTTCATGTTGACCATGATTATTTTACATCACATGTTTTTTTTTATCATCACCATCTTTATAAAATAATAATATTGTAAAGTTAAGACTAGTTAAATTATTGTTTTTTTTTTATGAAAAAATAAATATATTATTTTATATAGAATTAATTGATTTTGTGTCATAATATTAATCACATTTTTCTTTTATCTATTTTATTATATTTCTTGATTTAGATTTTATATTATAAATTTCCATTATCTCAATTTAATGTATTTTGGTCAAAGTTAGACTATTTAAAACTATGGATTATCAATATCGGAAACCTAAAAAATAAATTAGTAAATAGGTGTAAATGCAATAAAAGTTAAATTACTGGAGTTATTATTTTTTTTTAGTTCCTGTAAAATTTTAATTTTATGACATCGTTTTTGAAAATATATAATACCCATTTTTGAAATGAAAAATAATGATCCATTTCTAAAATAACACAACCACTGAATTGTTTAAACCTATTGTAACAAGTTGTCGACAGCATTTTTTATAACAAAGGAAATGTCTGAATTAGATCCTCCTACAATATCTAAATAAATTTTAAACAATATCAATAAATTTACATTCACTGAAAAATTCCAATTTTCAATAAAAAAGAATAATTTAAATTTTCATGCTATTTATTTATAAATATTTTTACATTAACAGCATAGAGAATTTACTAGATAACAAATAATATTTGTTAATACATATTATGTTTTAACTTTATGAGTGGGGTTACCGGTATTACTACAAACTAATAAATGTCGGAGATTCATATACAATTATTCCGACAACTATTACAGTAAAGTTGTTGTTTTTGATATAACCGATTCTAATATAAATGAATTCAAGATTTTTAATTTTCCATATAATTTGAGTCTCTAATTATATGCATTTATACATTTTGTTTGCGCCACTTTAGAGGGTTTCAACTTTGTTCTATTATATTATGGTAGCCAGTGCTCGAATTGGCAAAATAAGTAGGGGAGCTCAACTTAACAATTTTAAAACTGCGTCCCTAGCATTTTTTTTTTTTTACTCATTACTTTATTTAGTATTTATTAATAAATTATATTTCATTATCATACTAATATTTAAAAAAAAAAAA